GTTGCATTATAAATAGAGAATCAAGCAAGCAACCAAATAAAGGTAGCCCTAGAGAAGCAAAGTACAATCAACAATTTTCTTCTAAAATATACGTGACACAAGTACTATGTATTAATCATATTTTGATGCACTCATGATTTGAGACATGCTTGTTGTTAACCAATCAGAAATAAAGAGCTGATTTTTTTCCTTCATTTATCTTCATGCAGTAGTCAATATATTCATTAAAATAAATGTTAGTGTACCTGAGTAATACAGTAGTGTTCTCCAGAATGTTCCTTAATACTATCTTAGATATGATGGTTGTATAAAGATAGCAAGTGGTACCTAGTCATAGTGTTTCAGTGGTGCAAAGTCTTTGACAAAGTTAACAAAACATACAGACTAAAAGCACTGTCCTGTCAAATGTTACATGCTCTTGTTCTTGATGATGCTAGTTAGCAATTAAAGCTCCTCATAACTCAAAAAAAAAAAAATAAAAAAAATTGAAATTACAGCTTCTAGTTTTAAACAGGAAAAAAGTATATACAACACTGATACTTGGATCACTCTCCTCACAGGGACCAGAACAACTCCAAGACCTGTGTTCTTTGCTGTGAGGATTCAGAATTAGATCATTGGAATATGAGAAATTTCATCATACTGATTGTTATCAATAGGTGATGTTACAGATAGCAAATAAGTCCATTGGAAAATTAATGTTTCTGGCTATACAGACCTAGATGATGGGAGCACTAGTATGCCTTGGGGTCACGGTCATTAATCTCCCAGGTCAGGGAGCTATTAGAGCATGCTGCAGCTCCTGGCCAGTCTGCATTAGTAATTTTTATCTGTAAAACCAAGGACTCAGGATTACATCCTGCAGGAGCCAATTTTCGTCTGCATGATGAACCAGGTCACAGACAAGTTTCCCATACAAATATGGAAACTTGGTTGTGCCCCTGGGTCTAATATTGCAGACATAATCATGTCAGGCATGTAGATATCATTAATATAGGGCATAACAGAGCCATAATCATTTGAATCTCCTCTAATAACTGATAGCACCACACAACATTATTCTCATCCCAAAAAAGTTTTGCTGGGGAGAGACAGAAGTGACACCAAGTAGAGAATAGGGAAGCATGACCTTTCTCCAGGCTCTTGTCTCCCCATTGCTGAAGCAGAAAGGTTACAAAACTACAAGTCTGGATCAAGGAATGCATTAAAAAGGGTTGCAGTATAATATATCCAGGGGTACAGTTTAGTATTTGCCACAAAGAGTAGATGAAAGTGGGGGAAAAGTTTTTTGGCAAAATGCCACGGTGTCTCAGTTCAGTCTTGACACCCAAAATAAAAATATTTGACATGATAGTATTTAGAATTGCAACCACACCATGATTTTGATAATTTACATGCAGTATTTGATTTTCCTGATGCTTCTTGCCTCAGATGCCTTGATTTTATCATGCTCATTTCCAAATAATCATATTTTTGTATTCTTTTTTTTTTTCATTTCCTGCTTATGTTTTTCTAGAACTCCTAATATTGACAGGCTAGCAAATGAAGGAGTGACACTTACTCAGCACATAGCAGCATCCCCACTTTGCACTCCAAGCAGGGCAGCTTTTCTGACAGGGAGATATCCTATCAGATCAGGTAAAACCCTATTCCTTTACTTATATATAAATATCATATTTTATGTACAGTAAACCATATGTGGTTTTTGTTTGGTGTTTCTTGATATCTTTATCATTACCAGGTTAGGTATTCTATTCAGTGACTAATCAAGCTCAGCAGAGTTGTCTACAATTGAAATATTTCTCATATATGGGAAATTTTCACATTTCAGAAGACCAAAAATAAAGCTTTTTTAGGGAATAATTTTTTTTTGTTTAAATATTATGAAGAGAATCTGACTGTGGTTATTTAATGTAAGGAGCAGTCCATCTGCCCACAAAAATCCATTTCCTCCTCTGTTCAATGAACCTAGGCTCTTTGCCTGCCTCCCCAGTTGCATTCAGGATGCTCCTAGGATATTGGTGGGCAGCCCAAGTGTTGAGCATCACAGCAATGCATCTAGAAAGGCACAGTGGATGAACTTAGTGTAAATTCTTCTGCTCAGACATTTCTATTTCTACAAAACGTTTTGGTTTAGACAAATTGTTGGGTTTGTGGTTTGGTTTTTGGTGTTCTATTGGGTATTTTTGGGGGGAAGAGGGGAGCAGGGGGAGGACAGTTCATTAAGGTGTTCCAGTAGCCTTTAAAAATGGGAAGACAAGCGAAAAAATTCTCTTCTTTCTAAGCATTTTTGTTCCATATCTACCAATACAGTGTTAAGAATACATGAATTTAATTTCTTGTACTTTTAGAGTACCTGATCCAAAGCCCGTTGAGTCAGTGAAGATCTAGTCTGTTTATTTTAGTGTGCTGGGACTGAGCTTCTCAGTGCTTAGCCATGCAACTTTAACATTCCCTTAACACCATTTTTAGCAAGGATCATTATACATTAATCAGATCACTTGTTCATTAGTGATAAAACATCCTGTCCTTGCTTCTGGGAATGAAAGCAAATCAAGACTCTGGAGCCTACTTGATACGTTCGTGCTCATTCAAATCAAGTAACAAGCTTCTGCAAAAGTGCCAGCTAATATAACTTGCTAAATTTTCCATTACATTCAGCTGCAAAGGAAAATTTCATACACCTCTTACAGCTATATATCTATTAATATTTACTGTACATAAAGCCACAGGTCACTTTTCATTATGATCTTTGTTCTTGTTTCTGAAAAATTAGCATTTGAACTGATTTTTTTCTTCACTGATCAGCGCTCAGATATACCTAATCATTCCCATGTAGGTGCAAAAATTGAACTTTGTCTTAATTAAATTACAAAATTGCTAAGTATGGATTGCTTCCAAACAGTGAAGAACTGATAAAGGATTATTATGGAAGACACTAGAACCATGATGTGGAATAAAATGTTAGAAATTTAAAACTCCTGCTGATAGAGCTGAAGAAAAAAACCCAAAATGCAGTATTTGATGAGACACAAACAGAGAAAGGTAATGTTTAAAAAAAACAACACTGTTCTGTACTTTCATTCTGATGACTTAAGTGAATTACACTGATTTCAGCTACAAGAGGTTGAAATACATCAAAATAAATAAATTATATATATATGAATAAACTATCTAAACTATTGATCAATAAAACTAGCTAGGATGAAAAACTGAAGGTAGCATTTGAAGGGGAGGTTGAGCTCTCTTTAATAAACCAGTCTAATGAGTCTTTTTCTCATGTAACCACAAGGGATACCTGAGGGAAGATTCTGGTTGTCTACATCAGTTGTGTAACTTGGGCACTGCAATCATCCATTTGCATAATTTAGACTTCCTGAAGCTATATCTGCACAGATTTGCATAGATATTCTCTGTTCTGTCTGTCTATATTCAGAGCCACCTCTCATCTGGAATCCTAGTAATCTAATTTTCATGAACCTGAGCTCTCATGTTCCTCATCCTGAGAGTAGTTTATAAGCTCATTTGTGTTCCTCAGACTCTCAGTATATAGAAATTACTGTGCCTTATTTAGATGTTGTCTTGTTAGCTGATACCTGATGCTCCTTTAGTGCACTCTGTGTGCATTGAATCATGTGTCTTTGTGCCATTGGAGCATTGGTCTCTCCCATTAATGCTGAGAGCCCTAGCCACACTATTTCCAGAATCAGATTCTCTCTTGCTCTTTTTTGACCTCATGATATTTATATGCCCAGCTGTAAGACTGCCCTATTTCAATGTACCTTCTCTCAAATAGCCTTAAAGGCTGGCATGAGGAAAGTGGAAATTCTGAGTAGAATTCGGGAATTATCTCAGTCCTCTAGGAAAGTGGAAATTCTGAGTAGAATTCAGGAATGATCTCAGTCCTCGGCTCTAATCCTTCCTCAAGTGCAATAAAAATTATACAAGCCCAACTTCTTTCAGTTATGTTATACCTGAAAGCATCAACAGAAGGAGGTGCAGCTGTTCATATGATGGCTGGCCCCATGGTTACAAGCAGAGACTTTTTTTTCTCCACTTCTCAATTTCTGGTGTCAATACAGAGGAGACCTCACTCAGCTAAATGGATGATTGTATCTTCCACTTGCAACATTTAGTCTCTGGTGGTCATTTAAGTGATATTACCTAAAGCAAAAATGTGCATTCAGAAAGAACAAATGAATATTGTTTCTCCATATTATCCAGGTCTCATTCATTGTCATTGTATTTAGGAATGGCTGCCTTCTCACGAGTTGGTGTCTTCTTATTTTCTGCCTCTTCTGGGGGACTTCCTTCTGAAGAAATAACTTTTTCCAAACTCCTGAAGCAAAGAGGTTATGCAACAGCTTTAATAGGTAAAATTGTATACATGCACAACACTATTTTTCAGTCATTTCAATCCAAAGGAATATTAGCTTCCCATATAGGCTATCAAGGGTCTGCTTTAAGCTTTCTTCCTCCATGGCATAATGAATTTATTTTTCTGGCAGAAAACTGAGGACATTTCCATGCCTATGTGAAATACTAATCAGGTAAGTATGTCTAATCCATTTGTGTAGTTATAGTCTCACTGTGCAAGGCACTGAAGAAGCATGATGAACAATTTGTAAACTACTCAAGCTCTTGGAAAGTTTTAACTATAAATAGGAATTTGATTACAACAGAGAGGCAATGAGGGAATGATCACAGGGTACAAGTCAGCACAGTGGTGGGATTCATTTCACCAGTTTTCAAATATCCATAAAGAAAATTATGTTGTACCTGGGCTAACCATCTGGATTCTCTTCTTCGTCATCAGATAGAAATGGACATTTCTAGGAAATTTGTCTTGTGCTGTGGTAGATGTTTAATATAAAAATGTATTTCTCTCTCATTATAAAGAGAGTTTGGACAACTAACTGCTGCATAAATATCCATCAATGGGCAAAAGGAATTCCACTAGGTGAATATTAAATAGAACTGGAATTAATATCATAGAAGTATAACATTAAAGTAATGTGATTTTTTCCCTAGTTCATTAAATAGAACTGGAATTAATATCATAAAAGTATAACATTAATGTGATTTTTTCCCTAGTTTGGCCACTGGTTTATCCCACACTGCTTATAATTTAGGAGATTTTTTTGAGGTACAACTGGTATTACATATTGTATCTCTGTACTGGAATTGCTAGGGAATAGTTGTTCAGAGAACATCATACTGGAATGTTACTAAATTAATTTAGATGATGGATGCACCCAATTTGATTTTTAAATGTAACAGAAACTTGCAATTTTGGGAGTAATTTTTGTTTAAAAAAATGAGGTTGTTTAGCAGGGCTAGCAATTCACACCAGCTTTCAAAAAATGTCTGTACTATGTATATGAACCAGTGTCAATGTTCCTGACTAAAAATCCTACTTAGCTACACTATATTATAAAGTATAAAATACCATGATGTCCTGACAGAATCATAACAGAAAACCAGAAAATCTTATCTGAAATGCATTTAGTGCAGGTGTATTTGAACTATAGTGTAAGAAAGCCATTCATAATACGTCATGTTCCTCAAAGAGTTAATTCCTATTGCTCTGTATTCAATTAAAGACTGAAAAAAATCATTTCTGTTTGTAACAAGCACTGTAAATACAACTCATTTTCTGGGGCTGACCCAGTTAATGTTCTTTTTTTAACTACTTTCACTGCAACATGACAGCTTGCCACTTAGATCTCCAGAAGTTATCTCCATGATGCTTAATGAACAATTCTTCCAAGTGGCCTGAATGACAGCTATGAGGCCATAAAATGTAGTATTACCATATCCTTAGAGTATAATGAAGGTTTCCAAAAATCAAGAAGTACATTAAAATTAGGGATAAAGCATATGTAAATGACAAAAAGAAAAATTATGTAGATTTGAAGACTATATAGGCAGAGTTTGATTCTCAACCAGCCCATTTTCTGCCTCTGCTGGTATTCTTACCACATGATATTGGTCTAGGTCAGGGAGTCAGCTTGGTTCAATCTAACTCAGCAGTTCCAAAACAACTAATTGTCAAATCCTGCACCAGTGATGGATTGGCATGAGAGTAATTTGAAGCCTTTCAGTTCCTCAAGCCTGTAATGTCACTTCTTTTTTTCTTTTTTTTTTTTTTTCCCCAAGTTTCTCTCCCCTTGTCTCTCTAAGGACATTTTTTTCTTCCCTAAATGCATTTTTCTTTCTTTTTTATTTTTTTCTCCACTGAATATATGCTTCTGTTTGCTTGATACATCCCAAAATATACTTTAGCTATAAATCTATTTTATGTATACACTTTTCTACCTCATAGTTTTCCCCTGTGACACAAATAAGGTGACATCCAATAGATCTGTCAGGAAGATACACAATCAGATCTGCAACAAAACCAAGTTTTCTCAAAAAAAGCAGATGCATTGAATATGCAATATTTCACTGGTAGCAAGAAATGCTGATGTTTAATAGGAAATAGCTATTCAGAATGCAGAAATTCCACTGATATTAGATGGGAATTATTTTAACCACTACTATACCCAATTACAGTTGAGTAAATATGAACTTTTCCTCACTATTCTTATTCAGTGTGTTGTCTAGCATCCAGAGCTTAAAATCCACCTAAATAGTTTATCTTCAGAGGTGAAATATTGATGAGTAACTGGGATTTGTATCTTTCCTCCAGAATGAGGTGTTGTAATATTTGGACACATCACAGTAGTAAGGTGTTCAATCCAAGACTGACTGAGTCTATGGAGTGGGATTAATACAGCAGTTATTAATAGTGCATCTTAAAATCTGGCCTTATTAATAACATATGATATATAATATTTATTATTATTGCTATGTACTTCATACTTTTCAACTATCTGAGAGAAAAATAGAGGGGAAACATGAATTTTTGTACCCTCCCCAGGATTCTGAGTTCTGAAAAACTGAGTTCCAAGTGAAGTTTCTTGGCTGAATAGTACTTGTCTCTCATTTCCACTTGCCTTTCATTGCACTGCTTTCACTCTGCAGAAATTGGAAATGTGACTGAAGGAGAGGGAAAAAACCCTAGGTCTTGAACTATTAAGGTATTCATTATTTACAATTAACAGCATAAATTTCATTCAAAAGCTTGGTAGAACCTGCTGAAATGCTTATGATGCTTGTGTGAAGTGTCCATACTATGAAGCATCACTTGTCAAAGAGGTGAGAGCATTTTGCACTGCTCTCAGATTCAGAAGGACTTCAGAGTGTAAAGCACATTACAGTAATCTGCTGAAGCACTAGTTCAAGGCAGAGGTTATTGTCACAAGGAATGAAACAAAACATGTATTGTGGAGCCAGTCATCACTTGCTTTTTCAGAGTAGTGCAGGATCTATCAAACCCCTCTACCTCATCAACCATTTGAGAATGGCAATTGTGGTGTTCTGTCACAGCTGCCGATATAATTTGAGCTAGGGCTTCTGCTGCTTTTCCCACTAGCCTGCTCACTGCTTTGTTTGGCTTAAGTTGCTTCTGAACAAATCTTTTTTTGAGGCCCAAGTTCATCTTGACATTGAACAATTTGTTGTGCTTGCTAAAACCCTTTCGATAAAAATAGGTCCTACATTTTCTCCTGTCCTAATTTGTGGCTGCAAGATTCTTCTTGCAGTGTCTAGTTTTATTGAGATCCAGTTTTAAAAAAACCTTTATATTGTAATAAATGACCTTGAAGGTATATTTAATATGTTTGGGTTGCTTGTGCATGTTTTTTTTATGAATTATGGGTGCTTTGAGATAGATGTATAACAGAAACAAAAAGTTTAAACTTGAAGATCATTTGTAATCATGATTATGAGCCTCTACCTCAGTTATCTATCTTGATGGGAGTTGTTTCATGCTCACCTTGATACATATCTGGCTTTACAATCATTCAATGAAAACAGTCATGTAAACCTAAGAGAAAACATTGAAGCATTTTATTTTTAAAAATCTGTGTCTTTGTATGCTGGGAATGAAAATCAGAGTTGTAGTCTTACCTAACCCTTTATGGCACCATTATAATATCTAAAAATGTAGTACAGTGGTGTGCCCTGCTGCTTTTGTAAATGACCACAATAATTTTCACTGGACCATGTCAAAAGTAGTGACAAGGGCCATTCAGCCCACAGAAAACAGAATGCTGCCTCAGGTGAGGGACCATCTGATGGTGGGAAGAATTCTGACTGGATGAGAAAGATGTAGAGGTCTCCATTTCACCAGCACATAAACAGATTTGAAAATATTTTATACCTGCTTTTGTGATACACAGAAGGTATTTCTAACCTAAGACCATCAAGAGATGTACAAGGTTAACAGGACTCAACTAAGCACTCAGACTCAAGATTTCTATATTAGTTTTCTCTGCCTTTGCTGACAAGTGAACTTAGGCACATAACAATCCCATTCCATACCTTAGTTCTGTCATTTGTGGAAAAGCAATAATGACATCCAGCCCATTTGCTAAGTACTGTTTAAAAACAGAACTGACCTCCATCTTTACCCTCTTTGGTGCTACAGTACCTTCATTTGTCATTGTCAAAGGAAGAAGCACAGGATGAATATGCTGCTCTCTAGACCCAGGAGATGTTCAGGATGGTCTGAATCAGGATTCTCTTTTACAGATGTGTAAAAATTGGGATGCTTTAGGAAAGGGGAAAATTCTGTATATGCATTTTTTTCCTTACATGTGCTTTCTGCCATGTGTATCCTGAAGTCTCTAGAACAAAGTATTTCAAATTTCTTTAGGCTAGGTTATGGCAATGAGGGCTTACTGGGTTGACAGGTTTTCATGTTTATTTCTTTAAGATCACAACCCCTGAATTATGCTGGTCATGTTTAGATATTTGATTCAGAAAAATAAATAAAATTCAGCCCAGCAATATATAGTGTCATCCATTTTGTCAAGGGTGGCATGTTTTTTTTCAATATTCAACACATTTCCTTGCTGAGAGCAAAGAGCATAGCTCTATCCATAATTTATCTCATAGGCATAACTGAATTTGATTTTTTTTATAATTATGCATTTGAATTGAAATAACAGCTACCAAACAGGTAAGTGTGTTGCACTAAGCAATGCATAAGCATATGGTAAGAGGTTGTACCTGAGTCATAGAATGAATTATCCAGATAGTTATTGAATCAGCATGAACAGAGATTATATTACTATAATGCAAATTGAGTTCACTGGTTTCTTGAGTCAGTCAGTGTCCAACATTATGCAGAATTAGAGTGATTTCCTAGTGAGACAAAATATTGTGAGAGTATTTGGCAGCAATTTACTTGTTACTGTTATTTGGGGTTTTATTTCTATATATAAAATATATGCATACAGAATAATCACCCTCACTATATATATGTAAATTGTGAGGGAGATTGTAAATTTCAGAGATTTTGCAATCATTTAAATAATAAATGCTTTGGTAATTGCCCTATTCTTGATTTATTTCCTGTTTGTTACTGTCTTCTTCTTCCTTCTAATTTTTTTTTTAACTAGGCAAATGTTGAATTATTTCCCAGAAATATTTCAGAAAAAGTATTTTATAACTCCATATTAGCTCTTCCTATTCAATCAGTAGGTGCTACAAGACAGAATTTTCTTATGACAACTACACATGCACAAAGGCAAAAGTTAGTTTTCTGTTAGGGCTCTGTGGCTCTTCAGTGACCTGATAGCCCACTCAAAATTCAGTGTTCTCCATCAGCAGCTGTGCCAAACTACTTCTAACTAAGACAAAGAGGCAGACATGAAAGTTCTCCATCAGCAGCTGTGCCAAACTATTTCTAACTAAGACAAAGAGGCTGACATGAAGCAAAATCTTTGATGAATGCATAATGAAGGTTTAAATATAAAATAGGCATCCCCACAATAAATGATGGGGGTGGGGGAATATCAGTCAGATAGTGACAGTTTCATGTTTGGAATAGTGCACATTAAAAGTAAGTTTGATGATTTAACTACAAAAATACTCCCTGTCCTTCTCTCTTTGTAGGAAAGTGGCATCTTGGGATGAACTGTGAAAGCAGTAATGACTTCTGTCACCACCCCCTCAGTCATGGATTTGATTACTTTTACGGGCTTACCGTGACCAATTTTAGAGACTGCAAACCTGGCCAAGGAAGTGTGTTTATCAAAGGGGTTCAGAAAACCCTTGACATCCCCATACAAATTGCTGGAATCACCCTTGTCTCTTTGGCAATAGTGCAGTACATTGGCCTCATCAAAGTACCTTTCCAAGCATTGACTTACTGCTTGTTAATAACCACAATTTCACTTGCGGTTTTGATTTTTTTCTTCTATCATTTTCGACACTTAAACTGCTTCTTAATGAGGAACCATCAGATTATCCAGCAACCACTGTCCTATGAGAACCTTACTCAGAGACTGACAAAGGAAGCCACGCAATTTATTGGAAGGTAGGTTTCTAACTGTGTTATACATTCATGTTGGCATATCACAATGACAATGCTTCTGAAAATCAGGAAAAAAGTGAGCTGGTGGGCACGAGGAATATGTCATTATATATTATTGTCATTTTTTTTCCTTTAGAAGATGGCTGAAGTCAATCTTTTTAGTGAGAGTGACTGGGTTTTTTTTTTTCATCAGATATATTACTAATTTCTCTATAAAAATGTAAAAAAATATGTCTACATGCTTCAGAAAATGTCTCCAAAAGTCATCAACTTTTTTTAGGACTTTCATTCTTAAGAATTTCATGTAACATGAAATGAAAAATCTTTTGTGGTGTGACTTAATTATGTGAAAACACAATGCAAGGTCATAATCCATGATTTTTTCTGGGATGGGAAGCAGTTCCTCATGACTGAGTTGATGCATCCACTAGAAGGCATTCATAAGGCAAATTTTTTAAGATACTGGCATTTTAGATGCCTCCATTTTAAGACAGATTAATTTTTAAAGGATTTGATTTACAGAAGTTAGGGTGCAGAGTTCTGCATCTGGGGAAGAATAACCCCATGCACCAGTACAGGCTGGGGGCTGACCTGCTGGAAAACAGCTCTGCAGAGAGGATCTCAGGGATCTGGTGGACAACAAGCTGTCCATGAGTCAGCAGTGAGTGTGCCCTTGTGGCCAAGAGAACCAATGGTATCCTGGGATGCATTAGGAAGAGCAGGTGAGGGAGGTGACCCTGCCCCTCCAGTCAGCCCTAGTGAGGCCACATCTGGACTATTGTGTCTAGTTCTGGGCTCCTCGGTACAAGAGGGACATGGAGCTCCTGGAGCCAGTCCAGAAGAGGGAATTGATGCTTAAGGGACTGGAGTATCTCTCTTGTGAGGAAATTCTGAGGGAACTGAACCTTTGCCATAATTGTCACCATAGGGCTTTTAATGGGATTAAGTCATAAAAGTATATATTTGTATATTCTGAAATATAAATCAATATATGTGAGCAAAAATATTTCATCAATGTAAGTTCTTGAAATAATATGTGAAAGTATTTTTCTTGGTCACTTTGATACAAATTGCAGCATTTCTAAAAATACTTCATCAAAAGTAAAAACATATTCTAAGACATAGAAGTTGCTTAATTACTATTCTTAAAAATATTTACCAGGTAGTTACTGTGAATGCATCCACATAGTGTCAGTACTGGATGAAAACTTATACCAAAGAATCAGAGGCTAAATTTTCTAGACTTAGAGATTGCATGCAGCAGCTGTTTCTAGCTGTTAGCAAGAAAAAATATTCATCTAAAATCTTGATCTCATACTGCAATTTTTCTATCATTTCTATCATTATGAATATTTGATGCGGCCATCTACTCATCATACCAAAATAAAATGGTTTTTTTATATCAAATTTCTGTAAATGAATAAGTCTTCCCAATAGTCAACATTCTCATAAGTATTTATAAATAAGCTAAAACATATTTATTTCCTCTTGGCAATGGTGATAAAGATGCCTTCTCAGCTAACTAATTTAACAGTGGAGTACTTTGTTTACTGCAAACACACAAACATACACATTTGACAATTGTTGGGAGATTATTTGCTTAGTGACCAAGCATTTGGTGATTTTAAGACTATTGGGTACATTAACTATTTATCGGTAGATTCTTCCATTATTTACAAATATATAATGTACCTGTAGTGATAGTGCATTGGATATCTGTGAATGTTTCATTGATTTCAATGCCATGACAATAAAATGATTGCCCCAAAACAGGTGAGTTCAAGATGGGAAATCAATACTAGAAAACTAGTAACTCTTTTAACTTTATTAATATGCGTAATGTGCACAGTGTTACTGTATAGCTTAGTGTCGTGTTTGACCTTAGTCTTTAGAGCTGGCAAAATAATGTATCATCTGTGTCAGCCTAGGTTTGTTGACTCAGCTGGAGGTAAGTGGCTTTACATCAGCTGAGCACTTGGCCCCAGTTCTCAATGTAGTTTCCAGACAACAGTGATGTTAAATTGATGTCAAGGTTAATAGCACATATTCATAATTTACAATAAACTTTGTTACAGGAATGCTGCAATTATAGTGAGAATTATAACCCACACTCTTCAGAGTCAATGTTAAATTAGAGAATATCCAAGCACATTAAGGTATTGAGAAGCAATTAGGGCATTTGAGCAATCTTAACGGTGCCCTGTAGTGAATTCACATGCAAAGTATATGGCCATAAACCTTGCTCCAGGGGATACAAGTAATTAGATTAATATTCACTGAACTGATTTGTCCCATATATTAGTGTGAGCAACAAAATCAATATTTGCTTTGACACACTGGTTCTGACATCATATAGTTCATACCTGTCAACTCTGGGGCACCAGTAGACCACTGGTTTTATGACTATTTTACTGACTTCATGGAGATCAGGAGAGGTGCCTGAAGACTGGGAGATGGCAAATGTCACTCCAGTCTTCAAAAAGGGCAAGAAAGAGGATTTGGGGAATTACTGACCAGTCAGCCTCACCTCAGTCCCTGGAAAGGCAGTGGAATGCCTCATCCTGGAGGCCATTCTGCACACACAGAAGACAAGAAGGTGATCAGGAGTAGTCAGAGGGTTCTCAATACACATTTTATCATCAAACTGAAAATCATCAGATGTCATGCATCTTTAAATTGGTTAATTATCTGTACAATAAATATATGATGTAAAGCTATATTTATATGCAATGCATATGAATACATATACAATTGTATAACAATTCCAACATAAATGTTTTCGTTATGTAAGTTTATTATACCTGTTGCCTCTGCTACCTCTATAAGTTCTTTAGAGTTCAGGTGATGGACTTCCTAACATTCTATTTTCCAACTGTTTCTCAGTCATATTGTCAGCTTCATGATTTCTTACCATGTAAAAATGTCAAACTCCAGAAGGAATAGACAAGGAAGGAGAGGTGGTGGGGTAGCTCTGTATGTTAAGGGAGAGTTTTGATTGTCCAGAGCTTAACGATGGTGGTGATAGGTTTGAGTGGTTTTGGGTAAGAATCAGGAGAAAGGCCAACAAGACAGATATCATGGTGGGAATATATTATGTACCAGCCAGCCAGGATGAGGAGGCAGACAAAATATTCTATATGCAGCTAGGAGAAGTCTCACAACTGCTGGCCTGGGTTCACATGAGGGACTTCACCTTACCAGATATATGCTGGAAATACTGTACAGTGGAGAGGAAACAGTGTAAGAGGTTCTTGGAGTGTGTGAAAGATAACTTCCTGGCAGAGCTGGTGATTGAGCCAACCTGGAGAGATGCTCCACTGGACCTGCTGTTTGTGTACAGAGGACTGGTGGGTGATGTGATGGCTGGAGGTCATTTTGGGCACAGGAATCATAAAATATAGGGGTTTCATTTCCTGGCAAAGTAAGGAAAGGTGTCTGCAGAACTACTACCTTGGACTGCCGGAGGGCAGATTTAGGCCTGTGATTCTATGTAATGCTTAGAGTGTGTGTTTGAAGTCTTCTTGTAATTTCCTCATAGCATATAGTTATGTGCTGTTGTAGTTACTTTGGTCTGTTTTCTGGAGAGATGGTATTGTATTTGATCTTCCTTAGTCTCATGTATGCATATTGCAATTTTCATTTGTTCCTAGGTAGACTGAGAAAGTACAAATGCAGAATTCAATGCTCAGAAATGGCACTGGAGAAGAAAATATACAATTAGAAGTGTCAGATCTGGTGTGTGAGAACAAATAGTAATTTAGTTGCTTACCCTAATTGTAAGTGGGCAGGTCAGCTCAGTGTATGTTAATTCTAATTGCCTTTTTCCCAAGAGGAAGTGTGTTTACATATTGTAAACCTATCAGAACACTCTCTACATATTACAGCATATTTGAAAGTCAAATGGATGCTAATTATTTCATGTTAAATTCAATGTGGTTGTCACTCATACATCTTCAGCATACCCTTTAATGACCAGCTGCACAGAAAATGCAATTTTGGAAAATGCCAGAGACCAGTTTCTAATGTATCAGAAATTAACAATATAAAAATATCACTCTGTGATACAGAATACCTTTCTGGCAAATTCGTATAGCTGATCACAATTAATATGATATTTCTGAAGATTCTAATGAAATCTAGTTTCTGGAAAACAGTATTTGCATACAACCATATTCATACTTAAAAGCTATGGTGAAGGTGAATTTGAACAATTTCCTTGCCTAGTTTTTTCAGTCACAGATTGCATAGGCATAATCTTCAAAACTTTATGATGACAGTTAATAAAGCTTTAATTGTCTTTTTATCTATTCTATTTTAGTCCTTGAAACACTGTTACAACACATATTCAGATTTTTTTTTTCATCTACTCTAGGAGTTATTTTAGTCCTTGAAACACTGTTACAATACATATTCAGATCTTTTTTTTTTTCATCTACTCTAGGAGCATGTGGTTTAGAGTTTTTCCATATATCACTAGGTCTTAAGATCTGGCAGTTGTCATGTTATCCTGAAGTTAGAGTTCTGAAATCAGGTGGTTTTTATGAATCCTACAAGAAAAAGCAAATTATAGAGAAGAGTTTGTGTATCTGTGTATACATACGCTGTATATGTGCACCTATATTAAAGAAGGGTAGCAATTTATAATCTGTAACAACTCTACTGGATTTTCATGCCATTTTTCTCGGACCATTGATTTTTTCTTTTGAATAAAAAGGTAACAGGAAAAGGTGTGAATTCATATAGGGTGAGTGCCATCTGAAAATGAAATCTTTAAATCAATTTAGAATGATTAAGGACCTCACTAGTTCTGCCGTAGTGGCAGACTGCATTGTCAATTGAACACATCTAAAAAAGCAGTAGATCTTTATATTGGGCTCCACAGTTTTGTGGAGGATAGGGATTTAGTAATAAGCATAATTTGTAGTAGATGAGAAATTTCTTTTCTTTCTCCCTACTTACAAAAATGTACTTTAGAAAGGGTAGATAAAAGGTTATATAGAAAGGAAATTAAAAAAAAATATTCATTATGTACCTTAAGCATTTAAAGAAAGCAATAGGCATGAAATTAGAGATGTCAAAGTGTCTTGTCTATTTGCATAGAAGAATTATTTCACAAATGCAGATATAGTAGTAACATCCTACTTTTAGTATCTACTAGAAAGAGTCAAATTTTCTATATATATGGTTTTTTTCCTTCCCTCAAATCTATTTTAACACCTTTTCTGGCTCTGATAAGTTACCTTCAAGTGGTCTGGAATTCTCTTTCTCATTTTGAAAAATTTCAAGGCATGACTTTTTAAAGAGTAGGACAGAAACATTCATTCATACTAACAAGGATTTTAGCACTCTTAGCAGTCAGAACAAAACAAAATCCAGCATGTAGGACAAAGTCCTGCTTTGATAAAATTCAGCGAAGGTTTGCATTTTCTTCATGCAGGAACAAGAAGTCTCAATGAAGTGCATTCAACCAGTCCCATCACAAAGAACATTGTCTAATTGGTGATCTAATCTGGAAGTAGAGGAGGGACTCATGGCAAATAAGCATTAATGAATTTATCCACTGATGGGATACTGAATAAGAACTTTTTTAGTACAAGGATTATAGGAAAGTAAAAGTTACATTTGCATCTGCCAGTATTGACACACTGTTACCTCACCTAGAGTACTGCATCCAGGTCTGAGGTGCTCAGCACAGGAATGATGTGGACCTCTCAGAGTGTATCCAGAGGAGGGCCATGGAGGTGATCAGAGGGATGGAATTCCTTTCCTATGAGGACAGGCTGAGAGAGCTGGAGTTGTTCAGCATGGAGAAGAGAAGGCTCAAGGAAGACCTCACCTTAAAATACCTTAAATGGACATATAAAAAGGAGGGAGAGGGACTCTTTATACAGGCAGAGAGTGACAGGACATGGGGTGATGGTTTTAAACAAAAAGAGGGCAGGTTTAGATTAGGAAGAAATTCTTTACTCAGATAGTGGTGAAACACTGGGACATGTAGAGTGGTTGTGGATGCCCCATCCTTGAAAATATTTGAGGACGACCTGGTGGTCACGCTGGCTTTGGCATGCCCCATCCTTGAAAATATTTGAGGATGACCTGCTGGTCATGCTGGCTTTGGTGCAGCCCAGGATGCAGTTGGCTTTCTGGGCTGCAAGCACATATTTCCAGCTGATGTGGAGCTTCTTGTCAACCAACATTCTCAAGTCCTCCTCAGGTCTGCTCTCAATCCATTCTCCACCCAGCCTGTGCTTGTGCTTGGGATTGACATGACCCAGGTGCAGGACCTGGCACTTGGCCTTGTTGAAGTTCCCATGGGCCAAACTCTCAAGCCTGTGCAGGTCCCTCTAGGTGGTATCCCTTTCCTCCAGTGTGTCAAGTGCACCACATCAGTGCACAGAAAAGCAAATGAAATTGCCCAAGGAGTTTTCAAAGCAGCAAGGATTTGGAGCAGATTTGCAGGAAAAAAGTTAAAAGACTTGTGCTTGAAGCACAAAGGCAGATTACTTTTAATTGCTCTCTCACCCACTTTAAAGCTGTGTTTTACAGCTCAAGCCTGAACTGAATCCTTGAGTAATATAAAGACTCCTCACAGTAAAAAAGAACAGAGTACTTTGCAATTCAGAGGAGTCACCAGCAACACGATGCTTTTAGATGTTTTCAAGACCCATTAAAAACACACTAAAGAATATCTTAAGTCAGATGTATGTAATCTCTCTGAATTCTCAGTAAATTGAAAAGACTGTGTGATTCATGTTAGGATAAAAAATCTCAGATCTTTTGAAACTGAGGTTCCCTCTGTTTGGACTGTGTAAAAGATAGTGGGCAGAAATTTTTGAAGGAGCTGTTTATTGAAGTGGTTCAGGAGTTAAGCTGTTACTGTCAAATTTCTCTCCTGCCTACTAGCTGGTATTGTCATTCCATTCTCAAGGTCACGGTAAAGGTAGTCAGTTATGATTCTCCTCAAAGAGTCTTGGCAGGAGATAAATAGCTGCCTGTGATCTTTTATAGGATATTAATGGGTGAGACACTTCTTCACCTGACAGCAAGCTGTCAATCAGAACCTGTCAATTTTAGTTGGAAAGAAGAGAATGATGTACTGCCCTTCTATATCAATCATTGGTTCGATGACTCTTCATGAAAGTTAGATCTTTGTGTCAGTTCTGTTATAAAAACCCCAAACAACAAACCTACAAGGCAACTTGAGTTGTGATCTCTTGAAAATTACATTTATAGTGAAGGCTTTTGATACTTACTTTTAGCAGTGCAGGTATTAATTTAGTAGAATGCAGTGTCTCTGTGGCATTAGAACAAGGCAGTTTGCATGAAAAGTAAATTTTGCCTATACTGCTATAAAGTAAATTTTTGTGGTATTTTACCCTAAATTTGTATATTATTTTCAATTCAGTGAACTGTGTTTAAGGAAAAAGTCAGTGATAATCCCAGGCAGTAAAAAAAGAAAGTTGTAAACCAAAAATCAGCTGCCTTGCAGAAATGTTCTTTAATGCAAAGGTCAGTGTTACATTTATGTATATATTAAATATTTAACCTATAAGTATATAATTTTTTACTTGAAGTGGTGACATTTTCAGCCTTTTTAAATTAATTGAGAGGTTGTGTTATTGCTTGCTACAATAGTGAAAAGTTCTCAGATGCATGACCTCTCAACAACTTCATGGAAAGCTATGAAAACCCTGTCTTTATTTTTTTTAATACACACAGGATACATACACAAATCTTTGTAAGGGAATTAACGTAATTTTGTATCCAGTTTTCACATGGAGATTATTGTATTTATTCTTTTTTTAATGAAGAAAAAATCTCCATCAGAAACACACTTATTGAGTAATCCACATAAAATATTACAACAACTTCATGGAAAGCTATGAAAACCCTGTCTTTATTTTTTTTAATACACACAGGATACATACACAAATCTTTGTAAGGGAATTAACGTAATTTTGTATCCAGTTTTCACATGGAGATTATTGTATTTATTCTTTTTTTAATGAAGAAAAAATCTCCATCAGAAACACACTTATTGAGTAATCCACATAAAATATTACCATGTTTAAAAAATCTCCATCAGAAACACACTTATTAAGTGAGTAATCTGCATAAAATATTCCCATTTTGTGTTTATGTACTGCCACATATGCCCTTAAGTAAAGCCTTTAGCCATGCAACTTGTGCAAAAACAGAACCTATGAAGTAGAGAGGAAAAATGGATCATAAATATACTAGATTAGACTTAATTATTTGTCCTTAAGAGGAAAATATTGATATCAGATGAATCTCTTTTAGTAAGACTTTGGTTTTGGGTTCTGAAGGTTAGGATTTTTTTTGTCAGTTTTAAGGAAACAATTTGTATGAGCATGTCTGTATTGTTCCACCCCTCTTTAAAGGGTGGATGAATCAACTGCTTGAGGAAATATATAGCCTCCCTTTGATGTTGACATGAATCACAGGTATTATCCACCACAGATTGGTGAAGGAAAATATGGTAAATAAAACTAAAAATAGTCTGAAATTAGCTTTGTGCTTTAAGGTGAGATTCTGACAAGTTTTTTGAGTAGTGCTTTTGTGATTCAGCTGATATTTAAAATATGCATAATGTACTGCAAATGCTGTTAGAGCGTATAGCAGTAAATTTGGCTGGTACGGCACAATTTTAAGTAAAGTTGTATAAATAATGCATAAGGAGAAGTTCTTACTTGAGCTGTGCTTTCACAGCCTGCTGGAACTGATCATAAATATCATGTTGACAGATCACATGAACAGCAAAATTTACAGAGACTCTATTTATTGCACTCTTTCTTTTGTATGTATTCAGGAAATAGACTGCAGACAATGGAGACTGTTCATTACTTTGAGAGGAAAAACCTTTATATCAGTATGTACTTTGAAGTTATGTATGATCACATGCATACACACACAGAGGTTTAAATGAAATTTGGTCATATGCTTTAGGCCAAGATCCTCTTAATAATCTAGCTGATCCACTTCCATATGACTGTGAGGAAGGCAATTGTGTTGCCCTTAGATATGTAATTCTGAGGATATGTTTTTGAACACCAATTGTATTCTGACTTTAAATACCTACTTCTAAAATGAAGAGAGGTGCTTTTATCTCAGAACTGCTGGATTTCTGGCTTTAAACAAGTCCTCTTGCAATATATATTACAAATAGTAATTAGTTAGGTTTTGTCATTTATTTTTTATTTCAATTTAGTATAAGAATGACATTTTTTAGTGTGCATTTGGGTTTTATCAGGATTACCCTGTAGACAGTTAAGTAATTGCAGTATTCCTTTTATTATTTTGTGTGGGTTTTTTGGCTGGGTTTTTTTTGACGATTTTTGGCATTTGGGGGAGAGAGGTTTTTTTTTTCATCTCTGCGATAGAAAGATGTCTTCGTAGAAATTTTATTAAAAAATATATTAAGAGTTTGTGGATTTGTTTTGTTTTGTTTTCCAGGAACACTGGTGCACCATTTCTTCTTGTCCTGTCTTACCTTCATGTCCATACTGCTCTATATGCTTCAAAACATTTCAGAGGAAAGAGCAAGCATGGTTTATATGGGGATGCAGTGGAGGAAATGGACTGGAGTGTAGGTATGTTACATGTGCTTCTAGCAGCAATG